CCAATGTAGATGGCTGGGCATTTACTGCAAGAGATACAGTAAATAAGGTTGCTGGAGGTGCAAGATGCTGTCTGGGTGATCCGGAATTGTCCTGAGGGGCTTTGAATGAGTGTGGTGGTGGCTGTGTACTTGCAGGTGATACACCGAGCTCTGTTGCAAAGGAAAGTGCCTGGTGTTGATGGTTGTTGAAGACAGCCCTCTCTTCAGGGCTGTCTAGTTAGCTGAATCTTTTGTTTCAATTTCATTACTGGTCGGGAACGCTAGGTGGCGCTTGGAAAGTGGTTTAGGTCAAATAGCCCTGTTATTTTTGCAGGACCGATCTCAAGAGCGTCCTATTAAAACTGAACTATTTTTAATAGTTATCATTCTGGATAGGCCAAGAGTATTGAAAAACCCAGCTTTTCATCCTTTTTTATTATGTCTTTCTGGTCTGCAATTTCTTTTAATTTGTTCGTAGTATTTCACAGAGATGAGCTTTCTGTAGCTACCGTACGATTACATTACATTACAAATACAGGAAGTTCTAGCCAACTGCAAAGGCAAAGAAGTCTGTTTGTGATTTTTTAGAGCCATGTGGAACATGGCTACTGAAAAGAGGAGATGGCACGGCATAATCGATTGTTTTCAGCGTGGGATAATTTCTCAAGAAAAATCCAATCCAATCCAATCCAATCCTAAAAGTCCAGCGGCAGTTTTGCTGCATTGTTGTTTTGGTCTTCTTTTGACATTGTAGCGTGTGAGCTGTTTCAAAGTACCTTGTTGATTGAAATAAAACTTAAGGAGACGGGGTTTATTATTATTATTATTATTATTATTATTATTATTATTATTATTATCATCATCATCATCATCTACGAGATGAAAAACATTTACTTAACTTTATCACTAATTGCAGCACCTTGTCAAATCTGCCAGGTGGCAGCACAAGAATGCCAACTTAGCCTGGATAACCTTCTTCACCTGTAATAACCTGTAATGTGCAGCAAGCACACAGTTACAGTGGTTAGCATTGCTGCCTCACAGCAGTGGGACTCTGAGATCAATTCCAGACATGGGCTGCTATCTGCATGCAGTTTGTGTGTGCTTCCTGTGTTCATGTGTGTTTCCTCCAGGTGCTGCGGTTTGCTCCAGCAGTCCAAAGACGTGCTGGTAGGTTAATTGGCTTTTGGAAAAACTGGCCCTGGTGTGAGTGTGTACATGTTTGTGTCTGTGTGTTCCCTGCAACAGCCTGGAATCATGTCCTGGGTAGATCCTGTCTTGTGCCTGTTGCTTGTCAGGATAGGCTCCATCTCCCCTATGACCTTGTGTTGGATAAAGCAGTTAGACAACAGACAAATGTTCTTCAACCTTTTTCATACCATTAGTAATTACTAATACAATCTTCATTTTTGGACTGCTTAATCTAAAAAGACAAAAAACCTTGAATTGATCCATTATATCCGTGTGGTAGCCTTTGAACACCCAGCACCCCATAAATCAAGCGCCGTTCCCCTCCCACAGCAGCCAGAAGAATTGCAGAGCACCTGTTCAACTAGAGGATGCAGTGGGTTGAAGTCTTCCATCAACCATGAGCTGCTGGACCCTGCTGCCAGAGCCTGTGTTCTCCAGAGAGGACAACATGGGGACTGAAGAAGGGCTGCCAGGTATTAATCCATTGCTCCTTCAGCTACTCTGATTTGCCATCTGTCTGAGCAGCACCCGTTCCCCTGTGTCCCCGGTTCCATTCATAATCTGAGTCGGGGCATCCCTGTCTTACACCAATGTAACGAGTGTTCCTGGTTCTGTGTCACCAGAACGGGGAATGGCAGGCTGTAGACAGCTTTACAGGCTCCCTAACAGTTTTATTGCTTTTTCCATTACAGCAGCAGGGTGTGATATTCACGGAGCAGGGAAATAGCTGGCAAAGCAGAGATAAAGAGAGCAGGCAGGGAAAGAGAAAGAAAGGGGATTCATCCCTGCTTTCAAAAAGAGAAAAGACAGGAAAAGGGTGAGCTTGAGGTTAAAGGGGAGAGGTCATGGGTTCACTCCATTGCCTGGGGGTGCTGAGTGCTGCAACAGATTCTGCAGGAAAGAGGAGACTAAGATGAAGCAAAGCCCTTTCGTACTTGAAGGAAGCATGGTATAGCATAGAGAGGCACAGCAAGATAGAGTGTAACTGTAGCAAAACCATGAGAGAATGTCAAATAACATGCAAATTCCCATTGATTAGCATTCATTGAAGCATCTGAGATACTGGGGACAGTAAAAGGGGAGTCTTTTTCAGATGAAAACATGGCCAGTACTGTACATTATTCAAATAACAGGAAGGTACTAATTTGCAAGGTCAAACAAATTGTGCGGCCATGTAAGAGCTTCAAAGCATTTGCAGTATGACTTTTCAGTCTTAGGCATGACAATTCAAATTACTGTAATCTTGTCTTTTTAATGATGATTTGCATGATGTTCTGCAAAAACGGGAGAAGGCGGCTCTATTCACACTCTATTTCTCAATAGGAGAAACTTCACAGAAGTTCTAGAAGCTGCTCAAAATTCGTAAGTAACAGAATGTAAGTACCTCACTTTATCCTTGATTTTGGTTTCAGATTGCACCATTTAGATATTTCTGTGGTTTGTCAGGTTAAAAAACATTGATATGTATAGCTGAACCAGAAAAGCTCACCATTGAGCATCAAAAAGGTTATAGATGAGAGGAAGCCTTTTGGCTCTTTTTAAGTAGCTTTTGAGAAGTATCAATTCCATAATCATGGCTTTCCAGCTGGTTCCAGACTCCCATAACCTTTTGTGTAAACGATGCCTACTGTTCTCAGTTTTGAATTTACCTCTTATTTTCCATTTGTGTCCTCTGGTTTGTGTTTCTTTAGAAATGCAATGGGTTGACTTCTCAATGCCATTCAGGATTTTGAATACTTCAGTCACGTTTTCTAGTCTAGCATTTTTCCCAATTTGATTTTTTTCACTGAAGAATTGGCTCTGGTGCCAGTATGTGTGTGGATGGATGTCTCTGTGTCAGGATGGGTTCCGGAGGGGGTGGAGATATAGCAAATCTTTACTATTCCCAAAACTTTATTTTCAGCATTTTTCCACTTACACCACGTCTCTCAGTTTGGATAAAGGTTTTCACCGACTCTGAAAAGAAAACAAGAAAAATACAGGAAAAAATACACAGGAATCAGATGACCCAGGTGGGAATCACAGCACAAACTTTTTCTTTAAACAAAGGGTCGTGGGAGTAGGGGACGAGCTACCCAGCCACATTGTTGAAGATGATCACCTGGCTTCCTTCAAGAAACTGCTGTTTTTTCCAAACATAACCTTGTTATCTACTAAAAACTAAATGAGCTAGACACTGATTCGAATGTCCTTCACTCTTTTGTAACCTCACCTAAGAACGAGTTCTTAATTTGAGCTTCCTTTAAAAGAAAGTGAACAGTCGATTCTTTTTTTCCTACTGTATATACCCACCCCATTTGGAATCACCAGTTGTTTTAAGCCTGTGCTTTTCAGCATTGACCAGTATACTAGTATACTTGCTCAGGAGAGAAGGAGATACACAACTACACTGCTGGAGCTACTGTACATGACTGAAGGCCACCGGAGACACTATTGGGATTTGATGCAACTGGGGTTGTGGAGCTTCTCAGGTTCTGACAGATGAGTTAGCTTCACAAGGGAGAGTGGTGCATCATCCAAGTTAAAGCACCTAGAAGAACCGGTAAATTTTGCCTACCTGGTGTAATGCACTTGGGGCTGCTGTGCCCTGGTAGGGTGTTTAAAACAGGCAGATTCCAGGGAAAAAAAACGCAGATGCACTTGTAAAGGTAAAACAGCACTCTTTATTTATAGAGTAAGGAAAGGAAACTGAAACCTAAGCTTCAAACTACACTCCTTGATGACTCTATAAATAACCAGTCATAAACAAGTCAGCTGAGCTCCTTACCAGCCTCATAAAATCTCTTTCCAAGACTAAAGGCCCATGTGTGTCATTTGCCAGGATATTGACTTCAACAACTCCCGCCACACTCTGTGTAAAGAAAGACCCCCTGTCCTTATGTCCTGATTTACAGTATCTCTCTGAGAATGATTTCTGCCAACAAAAGGAGAAGAACTATCACAAACAAGCTGTGTAGCTTTCTCAGCAGATCTTCTAAAGGATATGTGTTCGATGCTAGATGATCTTTTACTGGGGAGCTGTGCCAGGGCCTGGGCTGCAGTGGAACCACACCAAAAAGTAGAAAGAAAAAGAAGAAACACAGGAAGGATCCACAACCAAAATGTTGTATTTTGTCTCTTTTTTGGAATTAACCTCTACTGGTTCCAATAAATGACTTGCTTTGATTTAAAAATGAAGGTGCTCCAGGGGTGCCACACAGTGCTGTGTGAGTTCAGAAACTGTCTAATGGACATGTACTGTATAAGGAGGTTATAATGTTTGGAACTATACTGCTTGTACTATATATTGAAAGTGACATGGATTGAATACACCATAAAATATTCCAGAAACACCTGGGCCTTCATACCCAATTTTATAAAAAACAGGGTTTGGAAGGCTGAATTTTTATTTCAATATTTCTATCATTTTGACAGACACAGTACAGTGTATATACTGTACTATAGAGTATATCTGCCACACGCCACCACATACCGTACAAGTGTGCGATCTCCAATGTCTACAACACTTTTGTTCTACAGTTGGTATGAACATACTATTTTGTCGGTGAGTCAATGAATAAAAATAGGAGCCTGTTTCATCATACTGCATTTACGATCAAGTCTCTTTAAAACTATTAAGCTATTTTAGATGATTTGCTTTTCCAAATGGATCCCAGTGGACTCCTGAAACAAATGAAACAAAGCAATCCAATTCAAGTGATTTCCCACTACAAGCAATGAGCGTTCTTTATTTTTTACAGAACAATTGTGTGAGGCCTATAATTATTTGTTATGCCTGTGTTTCTGTTTCAGTTTGACAACTGGACAAGGATAAAGTCTTGAGAATGTCAGTGCTCTGCAGCTCCTTGCTGGCGATGATGTGTCTGATGTTGACTAATGGAACTCCTTTGAAGAAAGACGTCCTGGAGGAAGTTATACATAAGTAAGTCTACAAATGAAATGATGGCTAAAATCTGTTCAGTTTATTGTCATATGCACAAGTGCAATGAAATGCTTATAAAGTGCAATGAAATGCTTACACAGGGGTTGTGAACCCCAAAGGGGTGAACCCCAAACTTTGAACAAAAAGGGTGGCTAAAGATGTAGAATTGTGATGACAGCCCCTCAGACAAAATGACCACGTGGCATTCCATCAATTGTTCATTCTCGTATTTAATACAATATACAATTTCATACAATAAAATGACTTGTGTTGTGAAGGTGCTGGAATTTAATCCTTCTAGATCCTTAATACATCTAGTCCAGCAGGAGACTAGCCTTGGGTAGCACTGGTTAGCACTGCTCCCCTAGGTCCAGTTCCCAGGGTGCTATGTGTTTCGTGTTTGTGTGGGTTTCCTCTGGGTCTCTGCTTTCTGCCTACAGTCCAGAGATGCTGGTAGGTTAATTGGCTTCTGAGAAAATTGGTCCTGGTGTCAGTGTGTGTGTTTGTGTCTCAGTGTGTAATGAAACTGAAAATTAGGCCTATTAAGGAATCAATTATTTAATTGAGAGCTCAGTGGAACAAAAACTTGCAACAGGTGGGGTCACCAGGACCACTACAAAGCCCTGGTGAAGGAAGTTCTCTCATTTAACATACAGTATTTCTATTAATAAGCAAAACATTGCCAAATTGCCAATCAAAATTTGTCTAAAGCTTAAATCAAGTCACTAAAGAAATCTCAAGAGGTATTTTATTACCACCACGTGCTGCGCCGTTCCTGACCTGTAGCCTCCTTGAATTTTCAGCTTCATGAGTGAGCTTGAGGCAGAGAGGGAGCAGAAGCTGGTGCTCCGGGAGGAGTTCTCCTTCCTGCTGGCGCTCTCCGGTACAGAGTGTCTCGGCGACATGCCTCCAATGTACATCGCCACGTTCTACTGCAGCTTTGGACGGAAAAAGTTATTTCATCCAATAATAGGCAAGAACCCGTCGCATTTCTATGAGCCTTCAAACCTGGTGGCGCTGTTTCCTGTAAAGAGGGGCCGATGCGCTGAGGCCAGCCTGCTGAGGAATGATATCCCAAACTGGTTCGCCAGCCAGCACGAGGTGAAGTTTAACCGGCTTCATGGCGAGGGATGCCTGATCTTTTTCACCCGGCGCTCCCCATGCTTGAAAAGCAGCACACTGGACCTTTTAAATGACCCACCGTTTAGTGATGAGTGGACAAAGGAAAAGGGTATCCACAAGTATTTCGTGTTTACTGCTGAGTTTCCGAACAGTGGAAGCTGTTTGGACAAGAAGGGTGAGCACCATCATGGAAAAGGGAGCTTTGTCCAGGAACACCTCTCTGCCTTTTTAATTCGGAACTGTAAGAGGATGAGCAATACAACTTCCTACACGTGCCAAGATGAGGACTGAGCCAAACGAGTGATGAGTTCTATGAGAGAAAGTGACTTGTTTTCACGAAAAGAAGTTTTTGGATTTCACTATTGTCTCTTCTATAACTGCTTATAATATACTGTTGGCTTCCAATTTGATACAATTTGTGCCAGAGGTTCGATTTTAGCAAAAGAATAAGACGCGGGTGTGCATTCAGTATTTGTTGCATAAATACTGTAAGTGAAAACATAAAAATCTGCAAGACTGTGAGTATGAGATATTGTAAAAACAAATCTGTCCAAAAATTGCATGCTTTTCTAAATACATGATGTTTAACATTATTTACATCCCAGCAATCAGTATTTCATTGATCCCTCTTTGCCTTGATAGCATGGACAAGGTGCTTCTTGTAGCCTTGTAATTGGTTAAGCACAGGTCAGAAGTTCCTACTGAGAATTCTGCCAGCTAATTCTGTAATGAAGCTACTCTGCATGAATGAGAGTAGTGGTCAGGGTCAAGTTTGGAGAAAAGAGCCCAAAAGCAAAGGCAGAACCAGGAAATGGCAGGAAGCAGACAGCTGTAGAAAGAACTAAAATAAAAAAACACAGGAAGAAATTGTGATCAGAAAAGTAGCAGGGTTCATAGCCAGGAACTCGCAGAATGAAGCACACAAGGGAATTCAATAAGCTTAGTGAAAACAAGAAATAAAAACACAGGGTCCAAAGCCAGCCTTCAAACACAAGTGAAATCCCAAAAACAGACAGAGATCATATCCAAGCAAGTGCAGGAGAGAATCCAAAGCATGGTCTATTAATGTCAAAACCTGAGACTGAACTTTCTAAGACTGAGCAGGGAAGTGAAGTTAAACCTGGGCTTAAATGTCCCGCAGGAATGAGGTAAGTAATTCTTAATAGCAGACAGGTGGGACTGATCTTCTACCAGACCGCATTGTCGTGGTAATTGATTGATGGGCTGTTGCAGTCACATAAGTTGCCATGGTTACTGGGGAGCATCTTCCAGCAGTCTGGCACGAGTGAGTATGACAAATGCAGATTACATCTGCTTGTGTTTGTAAACTGTTGTCATTAGTTCATAACAAGAATGTTCCACAGGATTGAGGGCTGGAGATTGGGATGTAAAAACATCTGATTAGAACCTCCAACTCTTATCCCTTAACCACAAAATGACTTCAGAGGAGAAAAACCTAACAGAGTTTAGAGTTCTTTCATGGGAATCTAAACAATACCATCGAGTCCCTTCCTATATGTGAAGCCAGTTAGGATTCTCCGGGATGAAAATCACTATATAAATGTGACAGATTGTTAACATTAGCGCAGAGATGACCTGTTGATCAAGGCCCAGATGTTATTGAACTGTCTGGAGCCAGCTGACCGAGGCCGTGTCCTGAGAGGAAAGCACCAGCTACAGGCTCTACTTTGTCCTCATCAGGCAGTTGTGGTGGGAAGGTGAGTCAAAGAGCTCTTCAGAGGACTCCAGGGAAGGCATCAGCGGTAACAAAGCTTTCTTCTGAATTCTCATTAGAACACAGGGAACTTTACAAATGAAAGGAGCTGCTAGCTACTACACTGTATATATGGGTCACATTGGCTGTTCTGTAAAAGAAGCTAGAATATTGACTAGATGACTGGGTAGCTTGTTCCATGCTCCCACATTTTGATTAAGAAGTTATACCCTGCTTTCCTTTGAGAAATGACTGGATACGATTCTCTAATAAGGACAAGAGGCACTCAAAGGGTTTTGGGAGTATGGAATAGGCTCCTGGCCTTGTTGTTGAAGCTGATACCCTGACATCATTCAAGAAACTAGATGAGATCCTTGGATAATTAGCTACTACTGTACCTACCAAACAAGTCAGAAGAGCCAAATATCTTGCTCTTGTTTGTAATCTCTCTTATGTTCTTGTGTACAGTTAAATACAAAACACTTCAGATTTGTCAGCAGAATACCTAGAGTTTCTTCTGTCCTTCTTTTCTGTTTCTCCTATGGCGTAACATAATGTAAACATTATGTTTTCCATCAAAAGCTCATTAAGCACATGCATAACATTATTCATATTTTAAATGGTGAGTCTAGACATTTGTTGACTGTGTAGTTTTGTTCCCTGGTAAAACAAGGTTGTGACATGTGATGCTCAAGTCATGTTATTTCATAAAACCACCACCAAAAGCCGAGCTGAATTCATTTTGCCAAAATAAGTTGATTAAGAACCTGTATAAATAGCCTGCCAAAAAGACACTGTAATTTTAATTAATATGAGAACAGCAAAATATATTTTAATACCCCATCTGAGTAATGAAGATCACATGGTTTAATCAGCAGATGTGAGTGTCAGACCTCATCAACCCATCCAGGACCATCACACCTGTCTGATCTGCCTGTCTCATTGTTTTCAGCATGAAAAATTCTACTAACAGCATGGTAGGAGTTTCCGATCTGCATGACATGATCTGTACATGTATGTTTTGGGTTATTCTGCAGTAATGTTCACAGCTGAGAGGCAAATTTGCCACCTTCTGTGGGTCATAGAATGTCAGAGGTAGCCAAGCGAGATGGTGATGGCAAGTTCTATTTTCCACAAAATGTAGCATTACCATTGACAGAATAGGTGACACACTGAATAACTGAACCCTTAAAAGACCAAATTCTAGATTTCATTTGAACTCCTTAGTTCTTTTCAGTTTCTAAATATACGGCGAGTCACCTTTTAACTATTGTATTTTTTAAGCAACTTACAATCTACATCCATTGAGCAGAACGTACAAAGATTTTAACTAACCAACATTTTGGAACATTTAATGATTTATCTACATAACGTTCTCAACTGTGATGAAGTCTTATGTAGAGTGACAACCCGAAGATCCATTGACACACCAGGACATTCACTGGAGTAAGGGCATGTATGGATTAGAACCCACAACCATCTGATCTAGTCCAGATACCCAACCAACTTCCTGTCTCCAGAGAACCATTAATAACATTGTTGAGTCAACAGTTTTCCATCCTGCATGTCAATGTGGAAATGAAGATCTTCCAACAGGACAGTAAAAAAACAGTGCATGGATTACTTTGAATGACGCCTTTAAAACAACAATGCTGACATCTTGCTGTGGCCATCTTTTCTTCCCGAGTAGGAGGGGTGATGGACCATCCCATAGCAGTCTAACCAGAGGTTGATCAGATGTAAGTGTCAGTGTTGTTAGGGTAGTGCCAGTACTCACCAAAGTCATACCTTATGTATGTATTTGTATTGTTATTCATTGTATCACACTTCATATTGTCATTTTACAAGAATTCTCAAATCTCTATTATAACTCATTTTCTTTGATCTTGTTTGATATTCCATTAAATTCATTACACCTGACTGGTTTAATTCAAACAATCCTAATCTCCCTTTCATATGCATAAAAGAAGAAAAATACTTAATTAAATACTTAATGCTTTCAAACAGCATGCAAACCAGGTTCAAGCAGAGAACTGCAAAGGAAAAGTAGAAGTTACTTCCATTAACTTTTAAAATTCTGAGAGAAGTACACACAGACAATCATTTCAGCAGAATGGCAGACTTTCTTTTTTGGCAAATAAAAAGATGCCAGGCCTTTTGGCATAGTAGAATACACCAATATCTGAAAGGGAGTATAAAGTAGGTTGTGGGAAGCACTTTTCTACACAAAAGGTAGAGTTGGGATCAATCTGCCCAACCATGATGGTGAAGCTGGTATCCAGGCTTCTTTCAAGAAACAGCTGGAGGAGATCCTGGCATCATCTAACTACTTACTACCAAACAGCCTAGATGAGCAAAGGCTTATGTTTTCACTTTCTTATTCAGCAAAAAGAAGAATGTGCAGTCATTGTTCTCCAGAGAAACGTCAGCCTTCCATTTGCCTCCCTTAATAATCACAGATGAGTTTTGACTCTTTGTGGTATAAGGAACTGTGAAAGAGTACTATCCTGTCTTTCGTGATTCTTCACTTGTTTTGAAAGTTTACTTTCCACTTTTCTTTTAAATAAAAGCATTTCACACGGGAAAAGGCGGTGGAGCAATTTACCTAAGAAAATTAGCTGCTGTCAATACAGTCATGTTTAAAACATTTCACAGGTTGTTACTGCACATCTTAACAGTGAAAACTTTGCTCATCATAAATGGCTATTTCCAGCTAAACAAAGGACATACAATACACTTGTAAACAATGTTTTACAACACAGTAGCAAGTACATTGAACCTAGTCACATACTTTGTTTATCACTGTGTTCACCAAGGTATACAGTGCAATCAAGGACAGGTCAAGTAATTTACAGAAAGCATGCAGATAAGATTAAGTGAAACACTTGAGCATACCTTTAGGTCTGGTTTATAGTGGTACAATATAAGGAAACTTCCCAAACTCCAGGATGAAACGTGCAGGATTTCATGTCCTAATCAGGTAACAGGACTCTTGTTGCTCTGTCGGAAAGACTGACCTAGTTAGGGATGTACTGAGGAACTATGGGCTTTGCAGCATGCTGGTGAATTCTTACCTGATCTAATCAATTCACAAGCACACATCACGGCCTTTAACATACACTCTGGATAGCTGAGCCGATGGCTCCTGATGGTGCAGTTTATGGCTTTTCCTATAGTTATATCAGAGTCGTAAAGAGCATAGTATTTAATCACTGCTGTAGAAAAAGACAGGGCCTTTGCAGATATGATGCATTTGGTGGAAGTTTGATATTTTCTTGATATTACTGTGACACACAGTATCGATGTCTAACTTGACTGAGTCCCCTGATTGCTTATGAATCCCAATAGTTTCCACATTTCCCAATGTTTTTCAGCTCCCGTCTTCACCCTTCACCTGCACCTTCAGCTCCTAATCTGAACATGTCAACACGGAGTCTAGACCTGCGATGCCACTGCACATATACTGAATATTGATATATGCAGTCCTCAAACAGCACTGCTCTGCCAGCCTCACATTTGAATCCTTATGAATGCTCTTTAGTCTATTGAATATAGCCGGATTTAAAAGGAAACCAGCAAATATTCCACCAGCGAGCCCACGCTGGGCGTAGCAACAGCACTAATACCACTAATGTGTCACCTGAGTCTGTGTGACTTCAAGCTTTATCTGTGTTTATTAGGCCTGTCTTGGAATAGCTCAGTTAAACCTCATGTACTGCAGCAGTTAATTAATGGCCTGTGAGGCCATGTCTTCACTTCCAGAGAATAAAGAAAAGAAAACAAAGGGATGTCAAGGGCATGATGTCGGTCTGTACTGAAAGAAGATCTAGGTCACTCTT